ACCTGAGGTTTATGTATATACTTTCAGTGGACAGAAAAACAGAATTAGAAAATTGTTTTTCATGGTCAAATGTATTTGCTGTCAACAACTTAAAAATCAGAAAGTTTGGCCAGGCGCGGTGGCTCACGCCTGTAATCCTAGCACTCTGGGAGGCCGGGGCAGGAGGATTGCTCAAGGTCAGGAGTTCGAAACCAGCCTGAGCAAGAGCAAGACCCCGTCTCCACTATAAATAGAAACAAATTAATTGGCCAACTGATAGTATATATATATAAAAAAAAATTAGCCGGCATGGTGGACATGCCTGTAGTCCCAGCTACTCGGGAGGCTGAGGCAGGAGAATCGCTTGAGCCCAGGAGTTTGAGGTTGCTGTGAGCTAGGCTAACGCCAGGGCACTCACTCTAGCCTGGGCAACAAAGTGAGACTCTGTCTAAAAAAAAAAAAAAAAAAAATCAGAAAGTTTCTATTTGCAGTTTAGGGATTGCTTATATATAAGGGATGATAATGTAAGGATAGGACTACCTTTTGACAGCTTACCATGGTGTTAGAGACACTGCCAAGTGTTTCTAAACTTTCTTTAATCCTTATGACAACCCTATGAAAGTTGTCACAGATAAGGAAACCCAGACTCAGGCTAGGTAACTTGCCAAGGTTACAGCTAAATGGCAGATAATTTCCACATAGTATTTTTGTTGACAAGTTACTTGGCAGTGCCTCAGTTTCATCTGTAAAATGAGGATATTAATATCTACTTCATAGGGTTACAGGATTAAATAAATTAATACAATGTAAAGTACATATAACTATACTTGGCAGCTCTAAGTGTTAACTATTATTATTTCTTGATAGTTAGCCTGACAGCAAATACATAAAATCATAGTTAATCTCTCTTCCTGGTTTTGAACTCCTGACCTTGAGCAATCCGCCCGCCTCGGCCTCCCAGAGAGCTAGGATTACAGGCGTGAGCCACCGCGCCCGGCCTGAGCTCTCATTTTTTAAATGAAGCTCTTTCCTACTTAGATCTGATCAAAATATAGAGAAACCATTATGACTACCAGAATTATTTTTCCTTCTAAACTAGCTTCATCTTTTACCACACTTTGTTATTGTATAAGTCATATTTTTGCCATATATTTATGTTTTAAAATGTAATAATGACAATTTTTTGATTGTTAATGATAAGTTTTCCTTTTGCCGGGGCAGGGACAGAGAATGGAGAAATGTTTCTGTGTGTCTCAGTTTAAATTGCTAATTAAATTAATAATTGCTGCTTATAAGCTCACAGCCTGGTCATAAGAGTTTGGTCCATTATTCAATTTCCAGATTTATTAAGGTAGGCTTTATCTTAATTTTTTCTTAATATGTTATTTCCTGGATATTGGTATGTATCAATATGCAACAACTACTGTAAGGCTTAACCTCCATTTAAAAGGATACATTTGCCTAATTTGGAACAACATAAAACATTTCAAAAATTATAAATTTGAAAATTTACTATAAGTCACAACAAAATTACTTTTCATTTGTATGTTTAAAAGCAAAAAGCAGAAATCTGATGTAATGTAATGATATGAAATTCTCATTCAATAGATTGAGGACATAAACAATACGGGAACTGAATCAGCATCAGAGGTAAACAGACATTTCCTTTAATGAAACATTCACCTAAAATTATCTGATTCACACATTCTTTTAATCTAAGAAAATATAAAAAGGGCTTTTATTTTACTCTTTTTATTATAAATATAGCGATAACAACAAAAAGACAGATGTATGTTTCTCAAAGCAAGATCATACTTTTGCACTTACAAACACTATACCTTAGTGTTTTTAAAGAAAAGTATGTTTTTGCTTTCATAGTTAGATTAGAAAGACAAATCTCTTTAGTCTCAGTTTGGGATACTCTGCCAAGACTATATATATTTCTTGAACTGTGTTACTAACAGTTGAGATTGTTGAAAGCTAACATTTTTAAAAGGCAGTTTTCTTCTCATCATTTGTTTTCTTTCCTCAGAGTTCCTGAGAGTTTGTGTTTTGGTTTTCACATACTATGTATAGAGTGCAGTATCTATTACCATGCAGGAATCTTCAACAACCACAAAAATTTTAGACATCTCTTTTAATCTAACAGAATAAGTTAAAAATCAATCAAACAATTTGATGGTGTTCCTAAAACTACAGCCACATAAATTGGGAGCAACTTTTAGGGGCATATGTTATATTTTATAACTCTTGTCCTTAATTTTGAGAAAAGTTAGAGGCAACAATAGATTATGTAATAGAGGCAACAATAGATTATGTAACAGATTAAATGTATTAAAATGAATTAAAAAATAAATTAAAAATATTTTAATAGGATCAAATGCCAAAGAGTTTTATCTATAATATAAATGTTTAATAAATCACTTGGAAATACTGTGGTATTTTCCTCACTAAGTATTAGTTTAAGTACTTAAAAGATTACATGCAGAGAAAAATCATATGGAGAAACTTTTGTCTGTGTTTAAACTGAATCTATCCACCATCAAATTGATCTAGCTTACACTCACATGCACCTTTTCTGGGATTAGTGCATGGATAACTAAATTCAGGCAATGTCACCGCAGTTTTCTTATCTGAACAGCTGTATTAACTCCATCTTCTGGGAAATAGAATGCTTCTTGAATCTTGTCAGCAATGAATTTCAATAAGATTAACTCATAATGTACAATGAATTTAGAGGAGATATTTAATAGTAATCTGTAAAAAGATACTTTTTTGTTCTTCATGATAACATGGATGGCAATGTAATGGAATTCACCAATGATGGAGGTAAAGTCCCATGAAATTTAAATTTTGATTAAGAAGAAACATGCTAATTATCTATTTTATAAAATAGGAAGGAGATGATTCACTACTTATAACAGTAGTACCTGTCAAATCATACAAAGCATCTGGAAAAATGAAAAAGAATTTTGAGGATCTAGAAAAAGAACGAGAAGAGAAAGACAGGATCAAGCATGAAGAAGATAAAAGAATAAGATATGAAGAACAACTACGATCTCTCAAAGAAGCAAAGTGTCTTTCATTGGTCATGGTAATTTTTTTTAAGGAACAAGTCAAAGCAGTTAAGTTAATTAACATTTCTCTTTATGACTAAAAGATGCGTTTTAATAATGTTTCTTAGGATGATGAAATGGAAAGTGAGGCAAAAAAAGAATCACTTTCTCCTGGAAAACTGAAACTAACTTTTGAAGAATTGGAGCGACAAAGACAAGAAAACCGAAAGAAGCAAGCTGAAGAGGAAGCAAGACAACGTTTAGAAGAAGAGAAGCGTGCTTTTGAAGAAGCAAGGCGGCAAATGGTAAATACTTACACTGAAACCTTACATTGCATAATAGGGAAGGTAGCTGGCTTTAGATAATATAAATTCAAAAAGATTTTATATATAAAAGGGCCTGATTTTGAAATTGTGTATATATTTCATATATAAAATGCATCTGTATTGTTTGTTTCCATTTTGGAGCATTTTACCCAAGATGCTTTAAATTTTTATTTTTATAAATTTTTATTAATATATAAATTAGCAAAATAATTACTCAGTGAATCTGGTTTCTCTTCATCTGTAAGTTCAGCTTGAAATGTATTTAATGACATGGGGGTGAGACATTTTTAAGTCTAATTATAAATGTACTTGGTTTTAGTAGTTTTAAAATATTTGAATATATCAAAATAACAATTTATTATGATTCAAATATGCAGTTTGCTCTATAAGGGGTGGGTGTGTGAGTGTATGTGGATGTATGTTTGTATATATATTTATATGTAGCATAGTGGTTAACAGCATGGATTTGGGAGCCAGACTACCTAGATTCAGTTATCAACCATTTATTAACTATGTAATCATGGACAAGTTATTTAATCTCTCTATGCTTTTTTTTTTTTTTTTGTCTTTTTTTTTGAGACAAAGTCTCGCTTTGTTGCCCAAGCTAGAGTGCGTGCCATGGCATCAGCCTAGCTCACAGCAACCTCAAACTCCTGGGCTCAAGCAATCCTGTTGCCTCAGCCTCCCGAGTAGCTGGGACTACAGGCATGCAAAATTCTTCTTAAAAGCTATACCGCCGCAGGTAACTCAAACTCAGGTTTTGAAGAAATAGAAAGGCAAAGGAGAGAAGATGAAAAAGGAAAGCAGAGCGAAGAGAAGCCAGAAGGAGAATAGAGGAAGAAAAGAAGCATTTGCTGAAGCAGAGGGGAAAGCATGGTAAGACAGAACCTAACTGGAGATTGCCACTAGAATTTAGCTTTTAGAGTATGTTAATAGAATTATTTAGGGCTTTGGAGAACACCCTATTATTCCTAGAATCTGTGCAAGTGTAGGAGTGGCAAATCGATTTAAAGTCGTCCTATGGAATAATAACACCAGCTGTGGTTGAAGGTATTTGCTCCAATTTAGCGTTGAGAAGGTCGTGATTAAATTGCTGTGCCTGGCATAAAGGATTGACTGTTATCTTCCTTCTCTGGGGAACGCATGTTTTTCCAGAACTGAATGCCTTAAGAAGAAGCAGGGAGTTTCTCTCCCCTCACTTATCCTTTCTTCTCTCCATTGTCTCCTCCCTCTCTTCCTACATTCTCTCTTACCTTGTTCTCCTTCCTTTCTTTCTTTTCAAGTTTTTATCATATCAGTATATATTAAATGACCAGTCATTAAATCACAATTACTTAACTCTCTAAAATGCTCACCTATCACTCCTAAATAATTGATATCTAACTTAATCATCACAAAGTTATAACTGTACTTCCATACTAGTTTAATTTTTTTTATTTTTAAATTTCAGCATATTACGGGGTACAATGTTTAGGTTATGTATATTGACCTTGCCGCACCCGAATCAGAGCTTCCAGTGTGTCCATCTCCCATACGATGTGCACTGCACCCATTATGTGTGTATATACCCATCCCTTCCTTGCCAACTATTTTTAAGCAATTTGACATATGAATACCGTGCATCCCCTTCTCGAAACTTTTTTTTTTTTTGACATAGAGTCTCACTCCGTTGCCTGGCGCCGAAGTGGCAGTGGCATCATCATTAATTCAGTGCAACCTCAAAGTCCTGGGCTCAAGCCATCCTCCTTATCTCAGCCTCCTGAGTAGCTGAGGACTACCGGCATCTGCCCATTGTACCTGCCTTTTTTTTTTTTTTTTTGTAGAGACAGGGGTCTCACTATGTTGGCCCAAGCGCGGGTCTCAAACTCCCAGCCTGCAAGTGATCCTCCCACCTCAACCTCCAACAGTGCTAGGATTACAGGCATGAACCACCATACCTGGCTAATTTTCTTATTATATTTAGTTGGCCAATTAATTTGTTTCTTTTATAGTAGAGACGGGATCTCCCTCTTGCTCAGGCTGGTTTCGAACTCCTGACCTTGAGCAATCGCCCGCTCTGCCTCCCAGAGTGCTAGGATTATAGGCGTGAGCCACCGCACCCGGCAACTCCAAAAATTTTAAACAAAAATTTCTTCAATTTGCATAGTCTTGCCATAGTATATTACTTCAGTTTCATTCATTTTTTTTTTTTTTTTTTTTTTTTTGAGACAGAGTCTCACTTTGTTGTCCAGGCTAGAGTGAGTGCCATGCGTCAGCCTAGCTCACAGCAACCTCAAACTCCTGGCTCAAGCGATCCTCTGCCTCAGCCTCCCGAGTAGCTGGGACTACAGGCATGCGCCACCATGCCCGGCTAATTTTTTTATACTATATATATCAGTTGGCCAATTAATTTCTTTCTATTTATAGTAGAGACGGGTCTCGCTCTTGCTCAGGCTGGTTTTGAACTCCTGACCTTGAGCAATCCGCCCGCCTCGGCCTCCAAGAGCTAGGATTACAGGCGTGAGCCACAGCGCCCGCCTAGTTTCATTTCTTGATCATTCCCCTTAATCTGCTTTGTTCCAGATATATTAAATTTGTTTCTATTTCTTTTGAAGTGAGAATCTCTCCGCCTTCGTAAATACTGTCTGAAATGTGTTCCCTTTCTCCTTTACCTATGCTCTGCTATCTTCTATTCATAACCTTCTGTTTACTCTGAAAGCCTTTCCTGTATTAATAAAATACATCCTATGAATTCTACAGCATTTAGTACTCCCCTAGTATACACTACTGCTATATTGTTAACTCTCAGGCTGTCTTTCTCACTTGGGAGGCCAAGACCATTTTACCAAGCATGTGGTAGGATACCTAGTGTAAGAGACCTCCAATATTTATGGAGTATGTGATAGTGAAACTATCTTGCATGTATTAGGAAATCCCTCGATTCACCAGATGGTTTTACATAGAAACCTACAGACATTGTGAATGGACTTATTTTTTAGAAAATAAGTAGGTTCAGAAGTGGTAGAAGAGAAGTAGCTGTGAAGATCAGGAGACCTAGTCCGGGGGAGATTTTAGGCCAAAATCGCTCTTTACTGTGATTCACTAATGGAAAAAGTGCAGGGGAAAAAAACTATGTTAAGCCAAAACCAATGTTCCTTAGAGAAATTTCTCTATCCAGGACAAGAGAGAAAAACTTCTCATTTATACTGTTTTCTTATCCAGGACCAGTATTGTAATTTCCACACTATAGCTCAGTTAACTCATATAATAAAATTTAAAATTTTTGGCAATCTTGGATTGCAAAACCGTTTAAATGTTGTTTCTGAGTTAAACTAGTTCTGTAGTAAAGTGTGGGTTTAAGTCTTGATAAAAGTTGGAGCCAATGTATAATTACCCCTTGCTTCTCTCATTCCCCTAGGTCCTTTTCAATCACAGAGTCACAGTTCAGACCTGAGGTTTATGTATATACTTTCAGTGGACAGAAAAACAGAATTAGAAAATTGTTTTTCATGGTCAAATGTATTTGCTGTCAACAACTTAAAAATCAGAAAGTTTGCCGGGCGCGGTGGCTCACGCCGTAATCCTGCACTCTGGGGAGGCCGGGGGCAGGAGGATTGCTCAAAGGTCAGGAGTTCGAAACCAGCCTGAGCAAGAGCAAGACCGTCTCCACTATAAAAGAAACAAATTATTGGCAACTGAGAGTATATATATATAAAAAAAAAAATTAGCCAGGCATGGTGGCACATGCTGTAGTCCAGCTACTCGGAGAGGCTGAGGCAGGAGGATCGCTTGAGCCCAGGAGTTTGAGGTTGCTGTAGCTAGGCTGACGCCAGGGCATCACTCTAGCCTGGGGCAACAAAGTGAGACTCTGTCTCAAAAAAAAAAAAAAAAAATCAGGGGAAATG